AGTATATAACATTTCGTTTTATAGAATAGTTTTAATTGATTTGTTATAGATTTAGGAGTAATTATGTGACCAATCCTTGTGTGCAGTGGCGTCCGTACTTTCATAGAGGTCAGGACTACAACGGTACTGTGATCCAGTCCGACACGTTTCGAGCAGTAGTTCCGCTGATCTGCTTCTCATCGCAGATGTGGCATCCTCCCGATCGCGTGCTCGGACAGTTTGGGATGATTCAGGACCGGCCTCATCCTCCACATTCCGAGGCTGAGATTAGATTTTTTCTTCGTCAGGGACAACATGGGCCATCACATGGCCAGCAGTTCATACAGGCAGCCAACGAGTCGATTGAGTTGTGGAACCGTCGACATGAGTTCATCGCGCGGACGAGCTACAGTGACGTACATTTAGCTTACCACTCGGAGCATCGAGAGTGGTATAGAGATGTCACTAGACGTTCAGGCACACCAAGAGTTGTTGCACTGAACGCAACGGTGAGTTTTTTAGTAATTAAAATTTGCGTTTTAATTGTTTTTAGATGTGTAGAATTTCTGATATTTTACATTTAAATTGCAGTACGACTGCATGGAGTCCGTCGAGCAGGGTTTACGTGATGGGATGAGAGCAGGAGGGCTATCCTATGACCAGATGGCGGAGTATGCTGACCAGTTGGCGGCAGGGGTTACAGCTATAGGTTTTAGTGATCGTCGACATCCTGATACAGAGCCGATACAGCGGTACCCTGATGAGCGCAGCTTAGCCAGCTGGCCAGAGCGTAGGACTCAGCCACCGGACTGGGGCGTGCCACCGCCACAGTTCACAGAGGAGCCCAGGAGGAGGAGACAGCGACGTGAGCAGCGTGACGTACCTCGAGGAGTGAGGTACTCATATCGTCAGCCAGTCAGACCTACTTCGACCTTCACCTTCCACCAGCCTTCTCAGCCACCGTTACAGCCAGACGCTTTTAACAGATTTCAGGCAGGCACAAGTTCTTCTAGCCCTCAGTTTCAGCCGCAGGAGGATAGCTTTCACACACCGCAGCATGCTATGATGGGAGGCGGACACATGAGATCAGGTAGTGCAGACCTGCCACATTTGGACGTCAATGAGTGGGAGCGTCTAGGTCAGCAGGTTCAGGATCAGGTCTTCCAGACATCTCAGTGGTCATATGAGCAACAGCGACGAGAGGGTGCACCAGATGAGCAGGCTCAGTCTCAGGTGGATGATATGTTCGGCACACAAGATCAGGATGATGGGGCGGAGAGAGATGATCAGTTGCCTCCACGATGTCGCATGCACCACCTCCACTCCCAACCTCTTTCGATGTTGTTCATGGCTTCATAGACTCATGCATGTCTATCTGAGATGATGCAGACATCATTTCGATCAGTCAAACCCTGAACGTGACTTATGAACTATGGCCAACTATCAATATTCTCACTCTCCACTATGGCAAATGCAATTGGAAAAATCTTCTTCCGGCCATCAAATGAGCTCGCCATGAGTAGCACTCCTTTATACTTCCCAGTAAGAAATGTTCCATCAACAACCATGACGCCTGGACAATTCTTGAATCCATCTATACAAGGTCCATAAGCCCAAAATACTCGCTGAAATATCGAATAACCTGGTTGAGTCGAAGGAACTCTTACCCAATCAATCATCGATGTTGGCATTTTTCTCTTGACCACCCGCAAGAATGTTTGCAAAAAATCATAGGATTCTTCCCAATTTCCATGCAACTTCTCCAATGCTCTTTGTTTCCCATACCAAGCCTTCTTGTAAGTAACTTGCATATTAAACTTATCTTTCAACTCGCCCTGCACAGTTAGAACACTCAAATTTGGTTGAGCACGTACCAAGTGTTTCACGGACTCAGATATAACATCAACATCAAGATGGCGATGATCCGTCGGTTGAGTCGTACTGCTACAAGTATGCACCAACTCGGCCTTTCTCACGCTCCAATCGCCTCCCACATCCCGACATCCAAACCGCACCATCCAAGGACATTTGTCCTCCTTGTGCATCAAACATCTGATCTTCCATATTGAAGGTGACGACTCCACCACGTTATACTGAAAGTTGCGTTGTAGTGCATAGTGTTTAATCGCCACCTGTGCAGCTTGTTTCGAGTGAAATATTTGACCCTTGTAGAATTCTCCATCAAAACCACCAACAATAGACCCTGGAATTACGCCATATGAATCAGCATATGATAATTCCTCGTCCTTTTCATTACCCTGCAAGTAAAAATATGGAGGATAATTAGGTTGTTCTCCTCCCTCCCCATCGTCGTCGTCCTCCTCCTCCTCCTCATCATCATCATCGTCTTCCTCCTCTCCGTCATCACCGTCATCATAGTCATGATCGGATGGCATGCTCCATGTGTCATCTTCTTCCTCTCCACCCCGATCCTCACTGAGCTCAGCATGTATCTCAGTACCCAAACAATAAGGATTTGGTGCCATAAAATTCCAAAGCACATTTAAGCTATCATCATCGACAATAGGCATTGCATATGAAATAAAACACCATTATGTCATTCTGGAAGACAGTAGGTGAAACCTGTAATCATAACACTATATTGTATTGTTTCGTCTCTAATCCATATTCTCCAAATTAGATGATCACAAAGTTTCTGATAGTTCACCCTGGATGGAATAGTCATCTGAAAACTTATACCACCAACAAAATGGACACCCAAATTGTTCTCTACTTTCTCTGATCGCCACCGAACAGCTAGTTCAAATATTCTAAAACCACTACCTAAAAAACAAACTCACTAATTACTAACTGGACAAAATCATTATGATGAATACATGAAAAAAATAAATACGATTCTTACCTATTATTAGCCATCTTCCCAGCAACCAGACAATAACACCAGAGCTTCTTTCGGAACTTCTTTCAGTTTTTTGGTGATGAAGAACCGAAGGAAAGGTGCAGTATATATGGTGATGGGTGGTGCTGGAGTGAAAAAAATGGCAGCGACAAAGCCCCAGTCTGGGCCGCCGACGCTTTTACCTATTTTTAAGCGACAAAGCCCCAGTCTCGGGCGGCGCCGCTTTCACAATTTTTAAAGGCCAAAAGCCCCATTCTCAGGCGCCGCCGCTGTGTTTTCTTGTTAAAACAGCACCTAGCGGCCGCGCCTGAGTCTAAGGCTTTAGCGCATTAAACATATAAAAAAACACAATATTCTTGTAAATAGTTTTTAAACCACTATATTCGTGGTAAATTAAAAAAAATATATTTAGGGAATTTACCCTATAATTGAATCATTCACAATTCATCCCATTTTAAAGCAAATATATATATATGGTGACGTATTCGGTCCACCCACTTTTTCGGGTGCACTCAGTGCACCCGCCTCATAATTGTCATTCTGACCATGCGATTCATGTCAAAACGGTATCAATTGTTGCTTATGATATTATGAACAAGAAGCACATGAATTTGAAAAAAATTCATTCAAAATTTACTTTAATTTGAAGATTTAGGATTTAGGGTTAGGATTTAGGTTTACAATTTGGGATTTTGGGTTGGGATTCAAAATTGAAGGTTAAGGGGTTAGGGTAGTGGATTGATTTGTTATAATTTTATGTCATATCATCATATTATATTGAGAGTACTAATTAAAGTTCAAAATTTGATGTATTATGGACGCTTTTAGAGTTGGGTGCACTGAGTGCACCCAAAAAAGTGAGTGCACCGAATGCACCCAAAAAAGTGAGTGCACCGAAGTAGCCACCATATATATATATATATATATATATATTGATCTACTCGAGAAACTTTTTCAACTCAAATCCAAAACCAAAATAAAAATACTTGTAAATTTGAACGAACAATTGTTCTAAACTGAAGCAAAAAGGGGGGAAAAACAGAAGATCAACACTGCTGCAATTCTCAAGCTTCAATTGCAAAACCTAGACTCTTCCAATTTACATCCCCATTTCTCCAAGCAACTTCAAACCTCGGTTCATCAGGTTTATGCAATCTGCATCTTCATTCAACACAAATCCACATCACATGATGATGACCTAAATATAAATAAGTAAACATAGCAGATGATAAAGAACAAATGAATCTATCACATATACAAATGCTAGTAGATACCAGCTTAATTCAATTCTAATAACAATAAATCTGATTGCATGTAGCACATTTAACCCATTAAGGAGGATATTTGACAAAAACAACAATATGTCAATGGATTAGCACTCAAATATATAGCAATGTTTTTTTCTTTTCTTTTGGCAGCAGTTGCTCTGCGGGTCCTCTGCTGCTTAGAAACAAATAGCAATGGTTGAAAGAATCATAATAATTAATCCAAATCATATTATCACACCCTGATATGCAGCAACTTTGCCATCCACTCTTTTTCTATCCAAAACACATTATCACATCCTCATATGCAGCAACTTGATATGCAAACTTTTCCATAAATTAATTTGGACTTTGCATGCAAACAAATACAAAAGCAGCAAATAGTTCAGGATTCATTACCTGTGCGCCAACTGCAAGATGAGTGCTTGGCTTGACGAGGATGAGATGTGAAGCAGATGGGCGATTAGGATTTGAAATGGCCAAATGGGGGTGAGACTTGGAGTAGCTCTTTGCTGTCCGTCACATATTTATGTGAAAATTGAAACTATCGGCATGGACAAGATGAGAAGCGACAACCTAGGGTTAGGACTTGGGACTCGGAGATGGAAATTAGATTCAGATTTCAGAACCAATAGAGAATGTCTGAGATGATGATTTTTGGGAAGGTAAGCACATCAATTTGATTCAAAGGGAAGGGTAGGTGTGAGTTCCGTGCGTGGTTTCGAGGATGGATTATTGATGATGTAAATCGGGAGTGGAGAGCGAGCGACTGGAAGAGGAGAGAGGTGATTGGGAATTTGTGAAAGTAAATAGTTTAGAATTGGTAGATTCAAAGTCTGACCTCACAACCACGCGATCAAACCTATGTTAGGCTACATCGAAGTACTTGAATCAACATTTACTGATCACATATATCAATATATATTCAGTAAGCATAAACTCCTTGTTACAGCTATCCCATCAGAAGAATACCAAAAGTGTCCAACTCGTCCCATAGAGTAACTCACAGCACTGCAGCAGAGTCTACAACTACGAGCAGTTGACTGCGACATCGAGCTTGTCCAGTTCATTGGACAACCTTAATCCTGCTCTGCCGCAAGTTTCTTCAGAGAATGGGTTGAAGCTAAGCACGTTGCCGATGTTGATGGGACTGACCGAGCTCAGTGGTCGTTTGTGTTTCTGAAGCGAGGCGCATGATGTAAGATTAATGAAGGAGAGACTCAAATACCATACGCATAATGCATCTTAAAAGTGTCTGCAAGTATTATTCATAAAGGCTTTGGCTTTCTTCTCAAACAATTACGTCTTGAACCAATCTCACCAACCCACAAACCCCATTGAAAGACCCGATAAAAGTAAGACTATCATGACTCTTCTTCGTCTCATTCCACGCTTCTTCCAATCACAATTCACAATCAGCCATTTCAATTCATGAATCACAAAATTTCCTTCTCATACACAGTCAACGAATTTAGAAGGGGAAACAACTGCTTCCCTCCAAGTTCCAACTGCAGCTACCCCATCTACTCATCACTTTTATCAGTAAGAATCCAGAGTAAGCAGCACTTCTCAACGGTCTTCATCACAAACAGAACAAAACTAAAATCATCAACCACTTATTACAAGTACAGCTGAATCAGTTCGTCGCTGACTACAGATGGCGTTAGTACACCGAGATCAGTGAACAACAGGGTAAGATACTGAGGTGGTGTATAATCCCGAGCAGATGTTTCAACCTCTACCTTCGATGGAATCGGCACTCCAAACTCTATGGGGCGTAAGGCAGGACCCATGTCCTTCTGGTCTAGTGGATACAGACGAGCAAACTGCAAAACCAACATAACATAAAGAGCACAACTATCACAAGTAAAAGACAAATGCACTTCCAATAATTCCCAATAAGGAAGTTAACGCATGCAGGGGAGTGACAAGAAATTACCTTGTAGCTTTCAGCTGCCACGTAAACAGGTTTGTTCATGCTGTGTGCCACGAGGGCAATCTGATACGTCCCCATCATGTTGATTATACCTCCACTTTCCACCACTCCATCGGCTCCAACAAACACCATGTCCACCTCGTCCATGGAGTAGGCAACAGCGGAGTCTATAAGGAGCTTCACCGGGACATCAAGCTTGGCTAGCTCATTAGACAACCTTAATCCTGTTCTGTCCGGCCTTCCCTCTACAGTTTAATACATATAGGGATGTCAGTCGATGACAAGAAGAAGAAAGTAGAGACAGTCAAAGTTGAATTGCTGAATGACAGAATGATAACAAGCATTGCAAGAGAAGGAAAATATGCTAGTTAACATCTCTAATGCAGAGTTCAGGACATGAAATTACATAATCGAAAGAGGTAGTCAAATGATCAAAGATATAAGAGCCTATGAGAGCGTCAGGCGCTATGTAAGAGCTTCTTAAAATTTAACACACAGGGCAATCTCTAACAACGTGCAGCAGTGAGTTTCAAGCATACCTGTGCAGAAAACTCGAAACAGTTTTTTACTTTGAGCTGCAGTCTTCAGAACTTCCAACACAACTCTCGAGAAGCCATGAACCAATATTGTACAACCATCAAAGATGAAATCTTGGCTAAGCATCGCAATGATCTTACGTGCCTGCAGACAAATCAACCAGTCAGTCTACTGTAAACACCATTTCAAAGTTCAAAATACTTAAAAAGAAACTAATGGATTGCATCTTGGAGCTAGATTGGCCACCTTATACGATATCTCTCCAAACTTCTCAGCACGTTCAATCAAGCGGGTTTTAGCCGAATTGAAGTCCTCATACTCCAAGGCTGAAGTTCTGGTTACATATCGCATGAACAGATCGCATCCTGCAGTTAACGATATTGATGTCGTGTCCCAGGACTGGACACCCAATATTTTGTCAGTGATCATGATAAAAGAGGCAGCCACTCATGCATAATAGTTTATTTCAGTACTAGCAGTATACTTGGTTAGTGACAACTTGATGTCGATATGATCCATTTCCAATCATATGGTACAATAACAAGGCAACATTTGATCAGAGGCATGTAATGAGATTGAATCACAGAAACAAGGAAGCATGTAATCAGAGGCACGAGGAGCTAAAACTTCAGGAATTTTGCAGTGCAAGTAAGAACAATCATGGATTTAGAGAACTTGAAACATTATCAAACAAGATTTCAAGGTCAATACACATTTGGTTCACCTATTATTTCACCTCCATCAACAACCAAATTAAGAATCACCACTACATCTAACAGATTATATAATCACTCGAGGAACAAAGGCAATCACATAGTCATTTAAACCATCCACGTTGAGATGACTGCAGCATTGAAAGGAATCCGTGGGTTCAAGAACCAGCCATCCCCTTATCAGCTTTTCCATCAAAATTCAACATTTGCATATCAAGAAGTGTATGCTAAGCAAAACTAGGATGTTAATTAAGCGTTGCTGAGCATAAAGTAGTTTCTTCCTAAATTGCTAATTTGGTTCTTCAAATATTTCCTCATCCTAGCCCCAAGAAATGCAGAGGGCCAAGCTAATTCTGACAAAGATACTGGAGAGAATCGCGCAAGAAAATGGAAGGAACTGACCTTGAGGGAGTCAGAGGCCTTCTTGAGCTCAATCTCGAGCTCCATCATGGTCGTAGCCTGGCTATTCCGAATGACGGCGGCAAGAGCCCTGATAGCAGCGACGGCCTCGGCCAAGTCGGGCTGTTTCCGCCAATTGTTGAACTCGTCGATGACGCTGAACGGCTTGCCCGAAGGAGCTCCCTGGTCGTTATTACTGGCATCGTCGTCGCCTTCGGGGAGGTGGCCGACGGCGGCCTGAGCCTGGGCGAGCCAGTCGCTAGAGACGACGCCGTGGTGGGCGGCGCGAGTCTGGTAGTAAGCAGAGATTTTGTCGGTGAGGGGGTTGGGATTTGGATTAGGGTTAGGGTTAGGATCCGCCATGGTGGTGGAGGGAGGTAGCGGAGAGGAGAGCGGGATGGAGAGGGCGTCGCGTCGTGCGGTGTCGTTTGGCTGTTGCTGCCGATTGTCGAGGATGAAAGACGGCGATCTCCACCACATAGCGCGGGTAGTTTGCTCCTTCATTTTTTACTGCTTCTTCCTCCACGGGATTAGTGGCTGTAAGAATTGAGATGATGGTAGTAATACTGTTGGTAATTCCCTTTTAATTTGGTGTGCTTATACTGAATAAGAATTTGATTTCTATAATTTACAGGTGCGAATATTACGAAACATATGACCTACCAATTTCAGCTTTCAATTTGATTTGTTTATTTCGGTTTATTGTCCTTGTTTTGATTTTTCTCCAGGACAAAAATTCATTGAAATTATTGAAACATAAATCTTTGTTTCACCAAAAAAAAAAAAACATAAATCTTTGTTTTGACTTTTGAGAGAGTATAAACTGTTTTCTGTTATATACACATACTTAAATCATCTCGAAAACAAACATGGTACTCGGTTAGAAGTTGTCCAGTTAATTTTTATCTTCTAAATTTTGAGCTATATAGGTGGTGGATATATCTTTAGGCCGGCTTTTGGGTGATTTGTCACATAATTTGAGTCCTTTAAATTTATCTCTTGAATAATTTGATTAACGATGATGTTTTCACTCACAATGAATTTTATTTTCTTTGATTTTTTCATACAATAATTAAATTGTTATTTTTTTAATCAAGTACTTTAATGACTTGAGCTCATATGATCTCCAACTTATACCGCAAACCAAATTACTCACTCTTATTCATGCCCAACACCAGCCGAGTATTTGTTCTGGTCTATCATCTATGTGTCTCACATCATCCCTTGACATTTCTCTTTTTTATTTCCAAAGTTTTATATATGCTCTCATAATTAAGAATAATGTCTATTTACTGCCCAAATTTTTTCCAGATTTTTTTATTTTATCCAAACCTATTGAAATATGAAATATTAATTAACTGTTAAGTTTTCATCCGAATTTCCGTTAGTCGATGTTGAGGTGGCATATTGATCTCTGAGGTGGCATTTTTTCTGACGTGGTACCGTTTTATTATTTTTGTTCGATCTCCTCAAGCTCTCATCTTCTCATTCTTTTTCCTCCTCCTTACAATCGTCGTCGGGGACTCCCACCTTGTTGCCAATAGGGGTGGGCATTCGGTCGGTTCGGTTTCGACCAAACTGAAATTATGAATATCGAGTCCCCGAATTCTCCCAAACCTCAAACCGAATTCGAACCGAATTATAATTTAGTTCGGCCGATTTAAACCGAATTATAATTCGGTTCGGTTCGGTTTTCACAAAAAAAAAAACGAATATTTAAGTCTAAAAACAACTACAAATATAAAAATCCACCATTTGGAGCTTGCAATTATAGTATTTCGGTTTTTTGGGCAAAAATTCAGAAAATCGATTCGATTGAAAGAACCCTTCCGAATTCGAAACCAAACAACATTATTTCAGTTTCGGTTCGGGTTCACCGAACCGGTTGCCCACCCTTAGTTGTCAACCTTCTCTCCCCAGTCCAAATCTAGCGTTATCCACCTCGACAACCATTCCATCTCCCGTTTCCTAACCTGTCCTCCACAAAAGCCCATCGCCCTTACTCCCTCCTCTTCTTCTTCGACGCCCAACACCATCACGGCAAGTCCGAGCTCCGCCTCCAAGACCTCCACCTCGAGGTCTCTCTCCTCGCCTCTTCCTTCATCACCTAGAGGAGAATTATCTCACAGAGAGGGGAACACTGTTACCCTGCGCAAGAAAACTGAGTTCTTCAGTTCTTTGGAGGGGGCATCCGTTGAGTGTGGCAATCAATGTTAGAGGGATCCAATGGACCATCAGGGATGGAAGTGTGGAGAAGCTTTTGGGATTCTAGTTGGATCTATGGTGGAGTTTGGTTGGTTGACTGACGAGCCCGTTACCTAACCACCTATAAGAAAAGCCATGGTGACTTTCATTCTTGACACAAGTGAGTGGGATATGGAGCTTATCTCTCGTTATTATTTGTACTTGCAGGTGCTAGGGATGACTCCACCATCGAAAGATTTTTTGACGATGACAATATATATTAGAGCATTGAGACCAATGGAAAGTACACAATCCGATTCACATACTCCATTGCAGCGTCGCTGGACGAGGGACTCAACCGGAGACTTACACCATCATTATGGAAAGTTGTTCCATCACTCATGCGAAACTCAAAGGGGCCATTGAGAGTTTTCAGTTGGTCAGACAGCTTGGACAATGGGGGGTAGCCCAGTAAATGGATTCGACGGAGATATTATCCATTCTGTAAGCGATGGGTGACCCGTCTCGTCAGTGTGCGATCTTTGTGCTCCAGTTTCGCGAGCTGCTCTCAATGGAGTGGGAAGTTAGCTTATCTCATGTTATCAGAGAGGGGAACTTTTAGCCGAATGTTTGGCTCATATGGGCTTCTCTGTTCCTTCTCCTTTTGTTTCTGAGCATGACCCTAAGATCTGTAAGTGGATTTTATATAACATTTTAGGAATCTTAGTACCCCGAAGTATAATATTTTGAGGTTGTGATGTTGTGTATCAGCTTAAAAAAAGACGATCAGTAACAATATCATATTCAAATTTTCCAACTCTAACACGATATCAATAGACCTTTTTGTTAGCCCTTAAGTATTTCAAAATTGATTACTAATGCTCATAACTTCCCTCTGATTTAGCTGTTGTTGAAGCTCCATCTTTAAAGTCCATCTCTCCCACGCTACACATGAAAGCGAAAATGTAACGATTATCATTAAAGCAGTCCAAGCGAGACTTATTACGTCCATGTGAATTATGTCTCTTATCCGTATGGATGTGAAAGGAGGCAGTCAATCAATATAGATTGATCCGAAATTTGATTGAAATCCAATTTAACGGTACAAGAAATGTATTGAATCAATTCTTGTTAATAAATAAATAAATAAATCCAATTGTAACTTCGGAGACTTTCTACCCAAAAATATTCTCCGAAGATATCCGTACTTGAATGACAATCACTTATTTTGGTCTTGTCCATAGATATTGCTGGTGGCTCTAAAAACAAGTTGGGGTTTGGGCCCAAAACAAAATACTCATAAACTATGAGTGATAAGAACTAATGGGGTTGTTCTAAAAAAGAACTAATGGGCCTGCAAGTTCAAGAAATACTATCGGCCCATGAAGCCCAAAACCGAAACTGGAACGATCCCAAGTCCCAACAGCAACAAATGGGAAAGACATTTTGCGGGGTGGCTAACGCACGGACTGGAGACAGCTAATGTCAAATTGGCAAACTCCCCGAAACGGCGAAACTAAACTAAACCCGTTGAATCCAACCACACCAACAGCAGAGAAAGCGCGTTTGTTATTTTTTGTTTAGACTCTTTCATGCATTATATGCATATCCAGCTTTTAAGTAGCTGAGCCTAAAGGGTCCAAAATAAGCAGAATACAAGTAGCAGTCCACTCCATCCACTTAATGTAACCCTACACAAAATGGTACGCAGTATTAATTAATTGCGTCAAAGTTAATGTTGGAATCGTGTGTTTAACTTAACTCTTTAGTTACTCGTTATATTATTACGAATTGACTTCTTTTTTTTCGTTTGGTATGGAAAGCATACTTACTGCTGCAGCATAATTAACATTTAACACGCATCATTAATTGACGGCTACAAAAAGGGTTAATAGTATAATAAGCAAACGACAAAAGGTTTATTGCCAAATACGTGAGAAATTTACATGTATTGCTTCTCAATATGGCGTCGTTAATCAATCTATTGTGCATTAAGTGTCAAGCGATATATATATATATATATATATATATATATATATATATATATATATATATATATATATATATATATATATGCATCTTAGTTAGTTAGGATGACAATGTGAACGCGCCTCGTTGGGAATTATCCAACCTAATTCATGATGGGGCAGGTATTACCCAACCTGCTCTAGTGTGGGCGATACATGAGTATCTACTTTAGACCCATTTTGTCTCGTCCTGCCCCGTTCTTGATCCAATTTATCTTAATTTCTTACAGTATTCATTCATATTTCTCATGTTTTGACCTTTTCAACTAATTAGACTTGATCTTTCAGCTAGTTAAATTCAATTACCCATTTTCTTACCACTATTTCTTATTCGTAAAGTGTTATCTCCTTAGCTCTTTGTCTGTTTGTATAGAGTTCAGGGCGGTACCTAGATCCCCCAACAGTGCTGCCCATAGAGTGACGCGTAAAGCACTGCTTTTGTCTCGTGTAGAGCTAGAATCTTTTGATTTTTTGGGGTGGCTTCTTTAGAGTCTTTTAGGGGTCCTAGGTAGAATTGTAAGTTTAACTATTATTTTTCATTGATATCACTCAGAAATAAAATAAAAAGTGTTATCTCCTTCATTTTATCGTAAAAAGTGAATTTTGCATTTTTTTTTTTCAAATAACATGTAAGGGTGGGTCGACCCATTCCGCTTTGTACCTGTACGGGTATTACCCGCCTCAACCCACAGTAGCATGGGACATGACATGTGTATTGAGGTATCCGCCCCGCCCTGCCCTGCCCATTGCAATCACTAATCATATATAGTACTTACAAAGAAAGTAAATGTCTTCTAAAAAAAAGTAAATTTGAAAATTAATAGTTGAATTGATAGATAAAACTAATTTTTCAAGATACTTAGCATGTAAATTAACTAAAGCATATTTACCGAATGCAGTAGACTTTTATAAAAAAAATACATTTTGAGATAATAGGATAATACATTTTGAGAACCAACCTATATAAATACATACATTTTAATTTATAAATTAATAGTTATGAAAACTATGTGTTCATGCATTCATTCTTTAGTTCAGGTGTCCAAGATAAATATTTGATTTTATATTTCTAGAGATCTAAATTTATGTTTTAAGTTACTCGAACCTCTATTTCATTCATCTTACATTTAATGTAATTTATCAAATATATGGTTAACTCATTACTATAAATACTACATAAAAATTGGAGGGGCCGATATCAGAAATCGGTTGCGCTCCGATAACAAATCTCAATATCATATTCTCATTTATTTTTACTATATATTGTATATTTGTTGATAAATTTTATTTTTAAAAATCAT